AAACCCTAAACTGAAGCCTAAACCCTAAACCCTAAAACCTCTAAGCCCTAAACCCCTAGAAGCTCCAAACCCTAAACCCTGAACCCTAAACCCTGAACTGCTGCCGGAACCAACCCTAAGAAGGCCGAGGCACTCGGAATCTGGAGACGAGCTGTCCTGGAGTTGAGCTTGTTCGCAGACTCTCCTAAAGGGTTTAGCTTTTTTTTGTAAATTGGGGGTGTAGGATTTAGGGATTAAGGTTTAGGGGTTTAGGGGTTAGGGGTTTAGGGGTTTAGGGGTTTAGGGTTTGGGGTTTAGGGTTTTAGGGTTCTAGGTTGCAGGGTAATTCTCTAAACTGGGGTCCCATTTAGGTCCCCAAGATAGTGCGGCACCCGTATAAGAAGGACCCTAAAAGGGACCCTAATTTAGAGAACTACCCACAGGTCTGGAAACCTAAGCCATCAAAGGTGTTATAACTAAGTCATAAGCATCTTGGCCCATCTTGCCTGTGCCCTCTAAGTCGAGCCTAGACTTGAGGAACTGTTGAGGATCAAAGAGGCTCTGATGAAAGCACGCCTTTGGCATGTACTTGGTGTATGGAGCTTCGCAGATCTCCCCCAAAAAATAGTACACCTTCAAGCCAGAAGGGTACGTCTTGTTGATTGCGTGGACACACGACCTGGTGGAAAAGGAACTGCCCTTGCATGTAAGTATCTACATTCTTCATTGGGCACCCAGAATATCAAGACAGCCAGTGCTCGTGCATGTTTGACAGGCGCACAGATGCACGCCATGCATGGAGGAGCAGGGGGTAGATGAGAGCACCCTTGAGATTCATCGTCGCACTTCCAGACTGCACCTGTCAACCTGTGCGGGTCCTCAAACCGTTACGTGATGTCAACAGTAGAACCACTGATGCAGCTCCCCAAAACCTTACGTATCAGATCTCAGCGGTAGAACCAGTGTTAGGGATGTTGGGGTCTAGGAGTCAGGGCCCCTGACAAGATCAGTCGCTTGCACAGTATGTCACTGGGTTAACCAACCCCAAGGATAAGCAAATGGTTAAGGGGTGCAGCTAAGGGCCTTTTCTAAGTTGAGTTGACAGTTTAGGATAGGATTTAGGGCTTCGGGCCTGGGGTTTAGGGTTTAGGGTCTAAGGTTTAGGATTTAGGGTCTAGGGTTTAGGATAGGGCGATTAAAGGGCTGCCAGGCCTGCGAGTAAGCGTCGTCGTCGGGCGTGCCAGGCTTGTGGCAGCCATGGCCTGTGACGCGAAGCGAAGACAGACAAGCTAATGTAGGGACCTGAAGAATTAGAATAGGGTTCTTTAGAGGGGTTCTGTAAGGGTTATAAAAAAGGATTCGCTTCCCCCCATATGGTCACACCTCCTCATTTTCATAGGGCCAAACCAGTTGGTGAAATGGTGAACTGCTTTATGGGCTAGGGCCAGACTCATTGGTGATATGGTTTATGGGGTAGGGCCAAGCTAACGGGTGAAATGGTTTATGGGTTTAGACATAGGGCCAAGCTGATTGGTGAAATGGTGAACTGGTCGAGGGGGTTTTGCAGGACAGCGAGGAAACCAAGGGGGGGATACAATATCACCCACATATGTACACATATATATATATATGTATATACATACATACATACATGTTCTTTCATCTTATCTTTTATTATCTTATATATGTATGAGCTCTGTATATGTATACTTGCAAATCACTAGAGCCCTATTCGACTTATCAAGGCCCCTGCAGTACCTTCCCCTCTCTAGAGCCAGGCCGCCTTGCTCATGCGTGCTTGTGGACATCACATCGCTCGCCTCGTTCGCCTGCCCACTCTTCGGGCTCAAGGCAGGAATTCCAAGGTTCATAGTTCTAGGGATGAGGATTATAGGATGTAGCCTTCAGTGAATCATCGCTATGCGTCGCCACTGGCGTTCTCACCTCTCATCGTCACCCTTGCAGCCTCTCGCCACCTCCTAGACCATGGCGAACAAATAAACCCTAAACCCTAAACTGACTCTGTCGAGCACAGCAGCGCCTCCGCCACTGGCGTTGCAGACGAGCCGACCTCCTCCTGCCGTCGACCCCCCCCGAAAGGGTTCCTTAAATGGTTCCTTTTGAGGGTTCGATAAGGCATCCTACAAGAGATGAATATAGGGGCCTGAACAAGGTGTACAATAATAATAAGTTCTAGTTATCTATGGACTTTAAGGAGATCCTCTTCTCAACTATTCATGAACTATTCCAGCCTCTAAAGTCTAAATCACTGCGGGCTTCTTGGGCTGGTGTCCAGGGCCATTCAGACAGCTAGGGGTCTTTTTTTGTGGGACTTCTACCCGTCGGAGATCAGAATTTCGTCTGCTATGGGCTTGGGCGGGAATTTTCGGGCTCAGGTTGGCGTAGACAAAACCATCTTACTTCTCCAAGCAACCGGGGAAATTACATGTGAAATTTTCAAAATTACTGCTAACTTACAAGAACACAAAAAGTTTATAAAGGTCGGCTATCGGAGAACAAATTCATATTCCGGCACAGTGCAAGTTTGCCAGCTCTCCTCCGCATCAAACTCATGCGTGTAGGAGAGCTCCAATTCATCCTGTCATGCCAAACTACGAAGTCCATATATGTATGTATATATAAATATATAGATATGTAGCTACGGTTTAAGGTTTAGGGGTTTAGGGTCGAGGGTCTTGGGACCATATACTCTAGCACCGCTACCAAGAGCAACCAAGTTACAAACGCAAGAGGTAAATGTACCTGCCGTTTAAAGGCCATATGCCTTTTAGAGGTACGTTGTTCAACTACTCTAGGCATTTATGTAGCTCCTGTACGCTGTTGGATAATCGATGTTATGGTTCGGATCTCACAAATAATCGGCACGAATAAATAAGTACTTCATGGTGGGATTTAGCTTCTAGGCAAGCCGGGCTGGACGAGCCCCTGTGCTTGGGTAAATGACACTAACGAACTCTGCAGCAGAGTGTTGATCAGGCTTCGTGATAAACAAAACCAGGAATGCTATTGCTCCCAAACCCTTAACCATATAATATAACCTTTCTTGAAGCCACGGGGGCGGGTATCGCCGGCACATGCGACATGTCGACATGGATGCAACATGAGAGCGCTTTGCACTATATGTACAGAAACCCTGTCGGCTTATTCTTAAAGCTCTGAGAGCCCCTTCATCTCCAAAAATGCTGAATCCCTGACCCCCTAGTCACTACAGGGCTTCGTTTCACCCTGTCGGAACGCCTCCGCCTCAGCGGAGACTTCTGCCCCAGTCTCTTCCGCCTTGGGCTCAGTCGCCAAGGGCTGGTTGGCGGCCACAAAGCTCCTGTCTTGTAGCCACAAAAACGAACCCGAAACACCCATAAGTCCTAAAGTCGCACAGCCTAAACTCTACATGGAGGATCTGTAAGCCAGTCATATGTGGCGTTTCAGTACCCATGTCGGGTTCTCATGATTACAATCCTGCACAACGCGTGAGCGCTACATACAAATTCGAACTCTGACGGCACCTTAAATCCAAAACCCAAAACCCTAAACCGCACCTTAAACCCGAACCCTCAGTCGCTGCTCCGCAGGATGGGCGGCTGGTCATAGTTCTACACATCAGGCATGGCTACATGTGGCTGCGAGTCAACATATCACGGATGGGTGCATATATATATATATATTGTAAAGAAATAAACAAATAAATAAATACATATATATATATATTATGTATTTATTATCTTATTATTTACTTATTTAGGTCTATACATAGATATGTATGTATGCATGCATGTATGTATGTGTCCATGCAAATCCAAGCGTGTCTACACACATGCCTGGTATTGTGCTGTGTTGCATGGGATCTGCTGCACAAGCACATACCAAGATACAGAATCCAGTGTTGTTCTAGATTGTTCCGTGCTTGTGACCGGCATAATCTCGTGCTACATAAGGCGGTATAATGTAAGCCTGCACAAGAACCCTTCCAACTCAAGAGCAAAACCTTTCGGAACCGTGTGGATGCTCTGGAGTTTGTATATATGTATGTAAATATATAGGTATATGAATGCAGATATGCTCATAGTCATACGCGGGTACATCTGCACTTGTGTGCAAACATATGCATAGAATCGTAAAAACTGTAGTGGCTAATGCTATGTATCTATGTTCTATCTATATCCAGAGAGAGAGAGAGAGAGAGAGAGAGAGAGAACCAGCGTGTGTATGTGTGCGTGCATCATTTCTTTGGAATCCACTCGGCGGCTGCAGCTGTCCTAATTGAGATTTTCGTTGTTCTAATGTGGTCGGGTTCGTCTTTGCCTTGGATTGGGTCTGTGGTGTAATGCATGCACTGTGAGGCCTAGCATTCAGGTTATCTCTCTCTCTCTCTCTCTTTTTCCTTCTCTCTCTTGCTCTCCCTTCCTGATTCCAAACCGAGACGCGTCTTAAAAGAATATCGCAACCCCCAATGCAATCGAGGCTCGTGTTTGAAGTCGAAGTCTCGACCCCTCCCAGACCATGCGGCTGCAAGGGACTGTGGCTCTGCGGGCCATCTTCGGGGACAGAAGAATTGGGCTGCGGAGGAGATGCGACCGAAGTCGAGGAGTTTGGCTCCTTCTGGTTCTGGGGCTGGGTGGCTTTGGGTTTGGGGGTGGGGGATTTCTGGCTGCGCTCGCTCCCAGCGCGCTGGCTGGGGTATGGGCCCTTGCCTTTGTCCGTGGTAGGCCTGCGGCCAGGGTTTAACCTTTAGTCTGCCACGCCACAGAGTGTTTCTGGGATCCCAAGATGAACAAACATGCAAAGAAAACTACAATGGTTCAATGAAGACCGTAGGTCGGGTTAGAGGGAGCTTAGTAGCTTGGAGCTGCAGGTCCCGCCTTCCGGTGTATTCCGGAAAGATAGACGGTTGAGCAGCAATCACAGCACAGGTGCGGTCTTGGTTCGTGGGAGACATGGAAACATTAAACTGCGCTGAGTTGCATTTCTGGGGCCAGGCCCAAAACCATGCCAATTTCAAACCCTCATCCCTACCAGGATCTAACCAAGTACGCATCACCAAAGCCTCCATGGTCTCCAAAAGGGGTAATGAGGCCATAGTAATCATCGCTCATAAGAGTGGGTAGTCAAAGGGGAAGTTATTCATGCCCTTTCCATCAACCACCCCTGCCGAAGCCTTCTTCTGACACAGGGCCCGGCTACATATGAACTCAAACCGTCCCGGAGACAAGCGCAACCGCATCGGCAGGTATGAGAAGTAGCAGCAACAGCAGGAACTGGGAGACCAGACATGCTTGCAGTAGGACAGCGCGTCGCACCCAAAAGGGACATGAATCCCAAACCAGCATGGCTGTTCCAGTTCAGGTTTCAACGGTTGAAGATCGTCATCAGCGGCAGACTTGTGTATTTCTAAGTTCTTGCCGGGACTTCGACTGACCCTGCAACATTAGGACCTCCATAACACACCTCACGGCTTGTCCTCTAAATCCAAGGCTCAACCGCACCAACCAACCAACCGACCCACCCAACCAACCAAACCAACCAAACCAACCAACCAAACCAACCAACCAAACCAACCAAACCAACCAACCAAACCAACCAACCAAACCAACCAAACCAAACCCAACAAACCAACCAGTAACCAAACCAACAAAACCAACCAAACTAACAAAACCAGCCCAATCAACCCAACCAACCCAACCAACCCACCCACCAGCCAACCAACCAAGGGGCTCGATGCTAGCGCCATTTCCGTGTCTGGCCGGCGCCCGATTCCTCTCTCTAACTCTAGTCACTAGTCTCCAAGCTCTATGATAACATTCGCTTGACCTTCGTTTAGGGTATAGGGCTTTAGCTCTTTAAGCCGAATGCAGCAATACGCTGGCCATAAGAAGAAGGCGGCCCAACTACATGTCAGGCAAACGGGACACCGCTCCATCTTCGCTCGTTTCCATCTTAAACAAACCCGCGAAATGGTCTAGATAGTATTCATAGAATATGTTGCCCGTCTATCCAGGCGGCTGAACCAAGTAACTACCTCCTAGCCAGAACGCCCGTTACCCTAAGGGTCCATGTACCCAAATAGATATATTTTGACCATAAAGTAGTCCCTATATAAGTACTTTAGGGCCTTAGGGCCAATGTATATACTGTTTGGGCACATGGACCCTTAGGGTTATTGCACCTAACCAGTGACCTGTATAGGTCTGGTCTCCCAAGCCACGGTGCCCACCCGGCCACCCCCTGGGTGGGCATCCCAATGTTTGGAATATCAGCGATGGCAGAGTACGGTGGTAAGGAACGTCATTTGTAAAGTTGCTGAAAACGAAACACGTAGCTCACCGTACAAACAAACATACATACATACATACAGACAGACAGACAGGCAGACTGACTGACATACACGTACACGTACCCGTACAAGTCTATGTATGTCTGTGTATATATATATATACACACACACATATATATATATATATATTGTGCAATAATCAAGACATACGCACACACACACACCCGCGCTATGGTAAATCGACAACACATTCTTCAAAACACGAGCCCAGTTATGAAAAGGTCAACCACATGGGCCAAAATATTCCAACATGAGCAGCCCCACACCCAAAATCTCAGACCGAGAAGGGTTTCGGTTTAGGGCCCACAAAGGCCGTAGACTGTACGGTTGCGGGCCTTTGGGTTTTTTCGGGCCTAGGGCAGCCCGAACAAAATCCCACCCCCCTTACCCCGCACACAAGGGGCTCCACTGATCAATGAAACCCCAAACCCGAAACCCTTAAAGCCTTTCAACCCCAACCCTTATGAGATCTAACTTCGAAAGCCTAAACTGCATGAGCCTGGAATCACAACTAAACCTATGTCAGACACCCTGAATCGTTTCCACATCCTGAACGAAACATGTGCCAACAAAAAAGCCTCGCAGGTGTGGGCGTCGGCTTTGCAGAAGTTGGAGGTAGCTCGGCTCTCGCCTAGGCTGGGAGAGGAGGGCTTTTGGGTCCACGGGCTCGGAACCACCGGTCGAAGAGCTTTGGGGCTTAGGGTTTGAACTGTTCCCACCCGCCTAGAAGACCAGTAAAAGGCATCCGGCTTTTTGGGGTTCTAAGGGTTTTGGGTGCTTTCGGTTGCACTGCTCGTCGCTTCTGCGGGGTTCTGCACTTGTTGTGGGGGTTCAGGGTCAAACTTGGTGTGCTTCGCAACTGTAGGGGCAAGGGGTTGTAAGGCTTGTCTTTGCGCCTTTGTACGGTTGGGACGGTAAGTTCGGTTGAATGTACCATACGGGAATTAATCGTACCCTGAACCTCCAAGCTAGCCCTGAATCCTAACCAGACCAGACCCAGACCCAGCCCCAACCAAATTCTCCTCCACTCTACAGACCGCCTAATGTACTATCAGCCCTCTGCTGGAAAACCCTACAGCCAGTTGGTGATAGCTGGGGGGTGAGAGCACTCCATTTTTTGTGTGTCAACCCTACTTGCATAGACCCCTGAGCCTCTGAACAACTCTCTCACCCCCCCTCCCAGACCCTAACCCCAAGCCCAATGCCCCTGAGCCTGAAGATCCACGTACCTATTCGGGCCGGGGCTCCCAAATCATATTATGGCAGATTCAGAAAATGGAAAGGGGCCTTATAGAATATACTAATATACACCCTTTGCAGGAGATGCATCCAAATACAGTGACCCCTTAGTCATGTACCTAAATCTTCTGACCGAGGTTTCGAAACCCCTGGGTACGTCATGGCCTTACTGTACGCCAAGCTTCCTCCTTGCCGGAGGCCTCTTTCGCTCTGCGCACCGGTCGGTCGCCGGGCTTTCTCACGGCCCCCTCTGGCGTGCACTGAGCTGCTTCCTGGTGGGTTTAGGGCTTCTTTGCACGACCCTTTTCCCTCCTGCATGAATGTAGGGATTATAGGGTTTTGGGTACATGACTTTAGGGATTGGGGTTTGGGGTAGTGTTTTGCGGCTGTGGAGTCTTGCTGTTGATGTGAAGATTGTTTTGCGTCGGTAGGCCCCAACCTAAACCTCGAATCCTGTTCTGTTCGCACAGCATGTGGCCACAAACTCGCATACTTCAACAAGTTACAGGGTTTAGGGTTTAGGGGTCAGGGTGCCAGCCTGCCAGCGTCTTAGGCAGAGCTTGCATTTCAACTTGAACCCTGTGCAAAAGGTCGGGTTCAGAACTCGATAACTACCGCAAACCCTAAACCCTAAACGCTCTCTCAACGGCTTAAAAAGCTCCCATGCTCGGGTGAGGTACTTCTGTCTGCCGGCCTTCGGGTAAACCGCCGACCTCTCCGGACTTCAATGACAGCCCCTTTTCTTGAACCCAGGCTCTGCCCAAGAAGCCCCGAAACCAACCTAAACCCTAAACCCTAAACCCCTTTACCCTAAACCCTAAACCCTCAACCCTAAACCCTAGACTTCTTAAGGCCTATAAGCTTCCTAAGCCTGAAAAACCGGGACTCCCTCGCCTCGTCGCTTTTGCTTCTTCGCCGCTTTGGAACTGCCAGGGCCTGGGAAAGTTCTTTGGAAGCGGGCTGCCATCGCCAGGGTGGATTTTGCTGCGGATGCGGTTTAGGGTTTAGGGCCTAGGGTTAAGGGTACCACCAGAATATCAAAGATCCAACCTCCGCATGCGTGCAGCCTGCATTGGCTCTTCGGCTTCGTCATGTACCCGCGACAACTACACAGTCAAACACAGCAATGAGAAGACCCAATCGTCTGATTCTAAAGATTCGCAACACCGAGGTTGTAGTACTCAACCTCTCCACTACCAGGATGACATTGCGGAACTTGAAACAATAGTACTTACTACCAACGCTGTGGGGCCTCCGGGGGGCCTTATCGTCACGAATAGTGTGTACTTCGATCAGAGTGCAGTTGGGAAAGGGAAGATGCGAAGGGTTGAAAATTTGAAGACCTGCGCCTAAAACCTACAGACGCCCTTCTTGCTTCGCACCTAAACATCTTGAAAGCCCGACCCAGTATAATGACTTGTATAAGCCCTGAGCAACCTCTAATGTCTGTAAAACCTGAACCCCTAAACCCTAAACTCTGAACCCTACACCCGAAACCCTGAAGCCGAAACCCTAAACGCTGAACCCTGAAGCCGAAGCCTAAACCCTAAACCCTAAACCCTGAAGCCTAAACCCAAAACCCTCAACAAGCCAAGGCTCTGCCAAGCGCTCCATGGATACGACCCGTGCCGGCGCAGAGCTCGGAGGTTCTTCTTGGCTCCTGATGGCCAGGCTTATACGGGTCTTTAGGGTTTAGGGTTATAGGGTTTAGGGCTCAAGGGGTTAGGGCTTAGGGGTGTAGCTGTTGGGGCTCTTCGCGGGTGTGTGCGGGTTTTTAGAAAGGACTTAATGAGGAGTGTCGTTCGGGGTCTATGAGGGCTTTGTGAATGTTGTCACGGGATTTGACAAACTTAACAAAAGCTTGGCGAAGGGTTATTTTACAGGTAAGGGTCGCTAATGCAGACCTCCAACTCAAAAGCCCGTTCCGAGGACGGGTTTATATAAATAAATGTGTATATATATATGTATGTATATGTATATGTTTATATCTATCTATCTATCTATCTATCTATCTATCTATCTCTATATATATATAAATAAATAAATATATATATATAATCTTCATTCGAAGAGCGGGGGCTGTAAATCATGGACTTACATGCGAAGCGAAGGTTCAGGGGTGTAGGAACGATAGTTGTGTTAATCGTCGTACCAGTCGCTACTTGTTGAAATAGGGTTAGCAAAACCAGGCATACTAGACACAACCACAACAGTAGCAATTGCATTCCAGGACGCGGCTGAGATGTTGGCTTCTGCAGCGTCACAGACGATAGCGCCACCAGCGCCTTCGCCCCCGAAAGCTCTCTGGATAGTATCCTCGGAGCAAACGGAAATTGAGGAACTAGGGTTCGTAGGCTTTACCACTTTAAGGTTCGGGGTATTGTCACCAATATTTCCATGACTATTGCTTTCCTGCGTTTCTTTCTGAACCGCTGCAAACTCTTTTTCAGTTCTAGACAAGTATGTTATGTTTCTTACCGGTGCTTTTTTGGCTTGTTTCCCTCAGTATTCTAGATGGCTTGAAGCTTCAGGCTATAAACTCCAATCCCAATGAAGAAGTGGGACTCGGGGCTCTTCAAGCTTGTGATTGAGGGTTTCTCTCCAGGGGTCAGGAGAGGAGAGGTGCTTGGAGGGAGACGGTTGATGCGTTCACCTTTGCAGGTGGTAAAACTGGGAAACACCTACGTTCGGTCAGGTTCTTGATGGTGCGAGACCCCGTTCCGTGGCTCCCACCCTGATATGGTGCACAAACATCGTGAACCCAACGCTACAAGCCCTGAAATGCTAAGTTAAATTGTTCAACGACATAAAGCTGGCGAAACCTACTGCTCCTTGCTTCACTTCTTTGAGCAGACAAATAAGAGCCCTCAGGATCTAAGTACCTCTTGAAGCATGCTTCCTTGGGGGCAACACCTTCGAAGCTGCAGCCACGGCTCTGGGTAGTTGTTGCCCTTCTGCCGAGGCTTCTGTGCCACTTCGGCGGGCTCTGATGCTCAGGCCGCTCCTTGGAAAACTTGAAGAATAGCAGTGCTTGCGGATTTCTATCGGTAGCTCTGCTGGGGGGCTTTTTTCTGTAGCATCCATCAGTCTCAAAGTAATGACTTGTTTTTCGGCTACAGGGGGGTTCTCTGACCTTGTCAGGCTGGCATCGCCTACCTTCGCCTACAGCGGCAACATGTGGCAACAAGCAGCATCCACCGCCACCGCCGCCGCTGCCACCGCCACCACCATCACCACCAAAGCCAACACCACCACCACCACAACAGCCACCACAGCCAGCACCAGCACCAGCGCCGGCGCCAGCACCCCAGCACCCCAGCACCACCACGAAAGCCACCAGCACGAATGCTGGACAGCCACAATCAGCATCTCTCATCACCACCTATTTCGCCGAGAGCAAAAGCAAGACCAAACCTGCACTGTCTTCTTCTAGGTGGCCATACTTGCAGTAGTCGTACAAAATCTTGGCAAAGCTCCAAGTCCTACATCCCAGACCCCGGTCCGTGAAGCCAAAATCCTGCCTTCTACTTCGACAGCTTGACCGCTCGTTCCCGGAGAAAAGCTTACATGGGCTTGAGGGTTCGGGGCTTTATAACCCTAAGATTATATATGAATCCTAAAGGGCTTAAGGTTTAGAGTTTTGGGTTTAAGGGTTTAGGGAGTAGGCTTTAACCTAGCATAAAAACCTGTCCCAGTAAACCCTGTTCCTAGCTTTTTGCACAGATCCTTCGTCAAGGAACCTAATCAAAGCCGAAGCTTACGACCTAAGGCCTTAACCCGAAACCCTAAGCCCACCGACCCCCCCCCCCCCCCCTCCCTCTAAAAAAACCACAACA